CTTCCTTCCTTCTTTATGATGAGTAAAGAATGCCCAAGATGTGAACGTCCTCAAGAGACATCTGGAAATGTCTGAATTATAGTCTCTAAATAACCAAGAGCTTCCTATAATCTGTGTAAAAGGAGCTTTACTAAAATCTCAGCCAAAGGTTATGTCTGCATTTGTGAGAATGAACAAAGGCCTTAAAGTTACAACCACCATTTTCTTTTTTTTTTTTTTTTTTGAGTTGGAGTCTCACTCTGTCGCCCAGACTGGAGTGCAGTGGCCGCTCCCAGCCACCGCAACCTCGACCTGCTGGGCTCCAGCGATCCTTCCACCTCAGCCTTCCAAGTAGCCGGAATTACAGGCATGCACTACCATGCCCGGCTGATTTTTTGATTTATTGTAGAGATGAGGTCTCGCTGCCCAGGCGGGTCTCGAACCCGCGGGCTCAGGCAATCCACTCACCTCAGCCTCCCAAAGGCATGGGATTATAGGCTGAGCCACTGAGCCCAGCACAACCACCATTTTCAATCTAACCCTAGACTTCAGGCAAACAAACAGGCTATAGAACTCTTCTTTGACCTGCCTGGTGAGAAAACCTCCCCATGGTACACTTAATTTCTGTGAGAAAGAGGACACTTCAAACAACTTCCACTGTTTAAATTCTATAGAAGTTTGCATAAAACCAAAAGATTAAATCGTGTTCCACTGAAACAGCCCCTTAAACAGTTTTCTACCGAATTTTATAAACCTTATTTCTCATCAGTATTTCTAAATTCAAAAAAATTATCCCACACATTACAAGTTGCCATTTAATTGACATGATGTCCAAGAACAGGCAAAGCCAACCCATAATGGCACGTGTCAGAATAGCGGTTATTTCGCAGGTGGAGGGAACTCAGGCTGGGAACAGGCATGAAGGAACCTGCTGGAAATGTCCTAGCTCTAGGTCTTTTGTTACAGCTTGATACACACATACCAAGAATCACTGTGCCATACAACTAAGGTTAGCACGTTTCGAGCACCACACAATTTGTTGAGGTATATCATACTGCAATTTAAAAAGAAATGATTACTCTGTCAGACGATGTTCACAATTACCTCCTCAGCAAGTAGGTTTCGGTATTTACATTCACCAAGGATCAGCAAACTGTGATCCTCGGGCTACTTGCCTCTTACAGAGTTTTGCTGGAACTAGTCACCAGCTGCTTTCGCATGACAGCTACTGCGTTGAGCAGCTGGACAGTGGCCACAGAAATGCAAAGCCTGAGTCATTGACCACCTGACCCTTTAAGAAAAAGTCTGCTTAAACTTCAAATCATGTATTTAAATTGCCCCCTTTTTAGGATAACTCAACTCAACCTCACCTAGGTAACAAGTAACAAACGAAAGATGTGCAAGACACTTAGTAAATGACTCAGCTAACTGTAATCCAGAATTTCATACAACTCTAACATGGGGGTAGCAGCATTCTTTTACCTGAGCTGCACTATGGGTTTGAGACATCGATCACACTGACACTTTGGTTAGCCTTACACAATGTCAATTTTAAAAATTGGGTGCCAATATTTAAAAAACAGGAAAGCAGAGAGTACACTTTTCTAAAAAGCCAAGATTTTAGCTTCTCATTAAAAAAATAAATGAAGCCGGGCTCGGTGGCTCAGCCTGTAATCCCGCGCCTTTGGGAGGCTGAGGTGAGTGGATTGCCTGAGCCCGCGGGTTCGAGACCCGCCTGGGCAGCGAGACCTCATCTCTACAATAAATCAAAAAATCAGCCGGGCACGGTAGCGCGTGCCTGTAATTCCAGCTACTCGGAAGACTGAGGTGGAAGGATCGCCGGAGCCCAGCAGGTCGAGGCTGCGGTGGCCGGGAGCGGCCACTGCACTCCAGTCTGGGCGACAGAGTGAGACTCCAACTCAAAAAAAAAAAAAAAATGAAAGATGCAGCAATTTTTGAACCACAGTCCTACAAGGTAACAATGAGCTCAGGGGACTCCAACAACAGAGAGGCTAGCGGAGCCGAGAGGAAAATGAAATGAGCCTATGTAAAAAGTAGATCAGAAGAGAGGGTACAAGGTTTCTCAAACACTTCACTTGTTATCTGACTGACCGCAGTGGGTACATGAGTTGCAACTTTAGGTTTAAGCAATGGCTTCCAGGGAAAATGGCAGAAAAGAATGAGGAAATCCAAGGGCCAAAGTGGGTAACAGTCAATGTTTACAGACATCAAGTGGCAATGTCTTTCTCCATTTCCACCTTGGAACAATTCTGCCTATTAAAAAGCTTCTTGTGAGTCTTTAATTATTTCAAAATAAAAAGCTTTAAAAAAAATTTTTTAAAAAAGCATTTCTGCTGGGAGCAATGGCTCACGACTATAATCCTTGCACTTTGGGAGGTGGAGGTGAGAGGACTGCCGAAGCCCAGGGGTTCAAGACCAGCCTACAACCTGGTGAGATCATGTCTCTACAATGATTTTTTTTTTTAAATTAGCCAGGCACAGTGGCACACACCTGTAGTTATAGCTACTTGGAAGGCTCAGGTGGAAGGACTGCCTGAGCCCAGCAGGTCGAGACTGTGGTAGCCAAGAGCATGCCACGGCACTCCAACCTGGACAACAGAGTAAGACTATGACTCAAAAAAAAAGTTTCCTTAAACTGATTGAAAATCTGTCTACTTATACTTTAATTGGCCCTTAATTGCATAGAACAAGCTTAATCCTTTTCCACCAGAGAATTCTACCATTATCTACAGATCTCTTGCCCAGATTCCCACCAAGAGTATCCTTTCTCAAGGACTAGAAAAAGAGCAAGACTATCAAGTCTCTTTATTTTACAGAATATGTATTCAATAAGCAAACATGTACTGAGCATCCACTGTGTGACAGATATTGTTCTGGATTCTAGGAACACAACAGTGAACTATGTTCTTGCTCTGTGGAACATACAGTAAATGTTTAGGTCGACTAATGTAGCCTAAGCATCATTAACATTTCTAGTGGCCATATCACACTACCAATTTTATTGCACTAAATTCAGTCCATTAAATTCCCTAATCTGTCTAAATTCATTGCACAAATTGTATACGTAGGCAAATGGGTTATTAGATTTACATTTTCTTATGGTAATTCTTGCTAAATACTATATTTTTAGAATATACCCTTCTCGCCAATCTGTCAAGAACTTTTGGAATATAAACTTATTTTACACCTTAACACACATCCTTATCCCTTCTAGTTTCTTGTTGCTGCAAACCTGATAGACCAATCTCTGTAGAGTCATCCAAATCAGTCATAAAAATGCTGATCAGGACAGCACTGAAGTCGCTAAGACCCTAGGACACAGGTCACAAGCACCCACCCTAAGAGACATGGATCTATCACTAAGGGCTCCATGACTTTCCTGTCTCAACCAGCTATGAGTCCACCTGCTTGTGGCCTATCCACAAGGTTACTGGGTCTACATCAAATGGCTTCCGAAATTACAGATAAAGTATGCTCACCACCTTTCCCTAATCACCTTGGGGCAAAAAGAAGTAATTTTTGAAAAGGGCAAAGAGCAGCTAAAAAGGAGAACAACAGAGGGAGGACAGGTCATAGCTTCCAAAATCTTCTAAAATAAATAACAGGTATAACTTTTACAAAGAAAATCATATGCCAGGCGTGGTAGTGCATGCATATAGTTCCAGCTACTTGGATGGCTGAGGCAGAAGGATTGCCTAAGCCCAGTAGGTGGAGGCTACAGTGGTTGTGAGCGTGCCACTGCATGCCAGCCTGGGTAACAGAGTGAATGTCAACTAAAAAAATAAATAAATAAGAAAAACAGTCCATAGAGAGGTGGAAATCATAGCACTACTTACAAAAAGAAATGCTACCTTGAGACAATGTATCTAATCATAGGAACTTTTATATGCTATACTTCGGCCAAGGTATAGATGAACACAATTAACAAATACAATCCTTAGAAACTGTTTTCTGCTGCTAACTTCAAACAATTTTTTTTTCAGCTAAAAGTTTTTGCCTTTAATACAGTCACTGGTAGCTGTTAAAAAATGGAAATGTGCTTGAATTTCCAGAAGTATATTTGAACTCTATGAAGTCTACAGTTCACATTAGGGAGTCACTGAAATTGTATTTTAAAATGCTAATATATGTGAATAAGGCATAAAGCATGACACAAATTAACATTCAGCACTTGGAACTGAAATACAAACAAAAAGATAATTCATGAATATGGTAATGACTATTCTCTGGCACAAAATCTGGAAGCACTTATGCATTTTAAGTGAACTTTAAATTTTAAGTAAACTTCCAGAGTATCGTTCAAGTTTTAGCCTTATCATCCAGCAAAAGTCATTATACAGACACAATCTGGGCTGCTGACAATTTGACAAAAGCAGGATCATTATAATTATAGTTGATTTTTTTCCCACTAAGGGGAAAGGCATAGCCCAACAACAGTGCAAACAACTTTATGTAAGGTATGCCTTTAAGAAAATAAACCAGAAACACTATAGTACACCTATCAATGTGACTAAGAAAGGTGCTGTTATATGCTATTTAGAAATGATTACATACATTAAAGACAAGACTTTACTTCCATATCCTTTTAGCCTAGATGTTAACTCTTACCTTGAAAGCAACCAAGGAGGATTTATTAAAAAATACTCTAAATATGTTACCCTCATAACACTCCCAAATGGGAGAGTTTGTACACACATCAAATTTTTTAGACATATATATTAGCAAGGGAAACTTGAGCTCATCAGATGCTATCTGTGATAGTTTTATTTCAGTGATAAGGTAATAAAGCATAACCCTCCACCCTCCCTTCCACCACATATGAGAGTTAAGATTTTTACTTTATTCAGTGTCTCAAGTGCAAGTGCTTATCACAAGGGACTGTCATCCTGTCATGCTCTGTCCTATGCACTATAATTTTTTGCCTGCTCTCAAAACTTTAAATTTTGGGGATTGGAGAATGTTAACCTCTGGGGCAAATCCTGGCCCTCCAAACTGCTTACCTGAATATACTTCCGCTGAGTTTCATCGTTTAGAACATGTGCAACATGCTTAGAAAAAATCTTTTCCCTGCCAGTTCTGGCATGGATGCCAACCATAGTGACGCCAATGGGCCATGGTGCATTTCCTATGGCCATCTGAAGATAGGCATCGTTCGCCTGAAGAAGGAACATTTAAGAAGAAACCAGAAAGTCAAAAATATGGTGTTGGTCTCAATCTTTACCTCAAGTATTTCACAGCTCTTCATGACGTAACTTTCACCCACCTTTTGGGCACGTTGAAAATATTACTATTCCCATTATTCAAACAAAAGAGATCAAAATATGGGGTGACTGACTGTCCTAACCTAGGACCACAAATCTCCATGGAAAAACAGAAACCAAAGCTAGCTTGTGAGTGAAAAAGACAAACGTTCCTCGGCAGCCTTTGTGTGTTGGAAATTAATACATTGCAGATCTGGAATTAGCAGGTAGGTAACTTGATGCGATGCAATCACGGAATTTCTAGTTTGGGTTTCCACTAGACCCAGGCTTCTCCACAGGTGGTCATGTAGAAGACAGAGGCTAACTGGTTTTTCATAGTCCAATCTGAAATGATGCCTACTCCCTGCACAGCACTGCAGCACTCTGAAGGCAGGGGGGGCTCTGTGTGCTGGGACGACCACACAGGGCCCATAACAGATGTGTAAACACAGAGGAAATACTGGCCCCTGACTCAGATAGCTGAGGGATGAGATCAGCTCACTTTGGCCCCCTCAAGCCTCCCACCTGCCAAGAACCTTAAAAGAAAAGATACTAAACGTGAAGACAGGAACCAATGAAGACAAATGGTTCTTTTTCTTAACCAAGCCTGGCTAGCTGTAAGTCAAAAGAAAGTAAAAAACAAAAAGCAAGTAAATTCTAAAAGACCCCAAGAGTTTCTGAGACGTTTATATAGCCGGGCCTCAACGAGATTTTAATTTCAAAAATCAAACACTTATGTGATTGATATGGAGAGTTGAATGTGAAAAAAAAAGTCAAGTACTACAGATATGTTAATTGGAAGATCATTTTCTACCCTAAAAATAAACATGAACTTGTTCTGCTCAACAGACTTTATAAAGCTCTATTTTTAATCACTATTTCTCATGTGTGTAAACTTTAACATTAGACCCTAACTGATAAAAATTCCAATATTTAGTTTCCCCCAAATTAAAAAAAAAAAAAAAAGTCCAAACAGGTTATGAAAGTTTCTTAGTTCTCTCTGTAGTTTATAGAAAATATCCTTTCCACCTAGTTCTGATATACGATCAGAAGAAAAAGTAACAAGAGGAAACTCCAGCAGGCAAGTGATTTGTTTCTGCACTGATAGTGACCTTATCCACCCATTCCGAGGCAACCATCCTTAGTGAGAATCATGCACTAACAGAAATGAAGAACAAATGTATAACCACAAGGCAAACATATTTTACTTGAGAAAACTAACGGGCTCTTACAGGGAGTGAAACCATGGCGTGAGCCTCCTTAGCCCAAGGCTCTGGCAAGTCAACCACCTAGTCACCCAGGAACACCAGCAGCCCCTTCTTGGGTGAGGACATAGGCACTCACAGCACCAAGGAAGTGACAGCAACCCGCTTCCCTACCGCTTTGGCACTGCTGCTGGGATTGCTGCACTGAACACTCTACCCCTGGTCTCCTGGGAAGCACAGCCACTAGAAACTGCCCTCAAACCCTGGCCTCTTCTCTCGTTCCCCTCTACCACTTCCTAAACTCTACCCCAGGAGCCCTGGACACCAGAGCCTTTTCCCGCCACCACCTCCTCCAGAGCCCATTCAGGAGCAAAGACATTGGTGCAAGGAGAAAGGCTCGCTCGGCATGGGCTCTGTTGCTGCAGGACTGAAATGGGAGAGGTGAGTCCCAGTACCCTTACTTGGACCATTTTCCATAGAAACAATTACAAAGAGTGGCTAAATTCCACTGTATCTTCAGTACAACCGTCCAGTTATATTATAGATTAAACAGCCTTTTACAGTGGTCTGGGAAACTAATCTATAAAATATTGTTTCTATGGGAAAATTCATTCCAAGCCATAAGCAACCACTTAGAAATTCAATCCCACTCATAAAATGGACATTGCCTATATACAGTTCAGAGCTATCTTTAAAATGACTGTGAAAATACAGTTGTGAAAAAAAATACAGTTGTGGTCTGAAGGTTTGCTACTCAATGCCTAACAATAAAGCTGACCAACACAATAGAAAATAAAACTTTTTCACCACTAGCCCATTTCCAAATTATTCTTAAATCTACTATATGAAATCCTCCCATCCCAAGTGAACATTGTATTATACACAGAACCTAGATATGCTTGTACCAATTTTAAAGCACAGCATGATAACGTACCTTCACATATTCTCTCTGTAACATGAATTTAATAATATCTGTTATTGATTCTTTAATATCAGCAGGAAGATTCTGGAAAACAAAAAAGCATAAATAATTTTGGAACCTATTATGTGTATGAAAAACAGACATAATTTATTCTAAATATACATATTCTATTTTTTTAAAGTCGTTTTAAAAAAGCATAGTCTGAAAAAACTCACCCTCTTCCGTAGCTTTCTGAAAAGCGGTCTGAGGTAGGACTCAGTCTGTTTCTGAGTGGCACTGTTCAGTTTACCCTGCACACTGCGTTTCACGTAATCTTCTCTGGCATTCAATTCTTTAGCCCAAACACCAAGAAGAAACTGTTGAAAGAACGGGTAAATTTAGGCTACAACGCCACCCAGTGGTTCGATACATTTAAAACCTTTCCAAAACACAAGAGTACACTGTCATTCTTCAAGTAAATGTCTTGAATGATTAAATAATACTGAACTGATGAGCTATTTTGGCTTAAGTTGTCATGAATGCTCTCAAGTAATGCCTTTGGCAAGTCACAAACTTCCCTGGTCTGTATATATTCCCAAATCAAATAATCCATTTCCCCCCAAAAAAGAACTATCAGATCTCTCATAGTTAACTACTTGATGGAAATAAACTCTTATCTGCATTTCTTTTTTTATTTTATTTTTATTTTTTAAATTTATTTATGTATTATAAAGATGTAGGGTACAATTCAGGGTTAGGTATACAAACATTGATCATGCAGGTACCCTTGTTGATGAGGAATGCTTCTCCCACCCCTAGCAGTTTCCCTCAACTGCCAGTCCCACCCCCCCTCCCCTGACAGTTTTCCACTATTGTCAATTGCTTCCTTACAGCATTATAATTGTTCAAGGTCATCTTATGAGTGAGAACATATGGAACTCAGTTCTTTGTTTCGGTGATAAATCACTGAGCATGATAGACTCCAAGTCCATCCAATTTGCTGCAAAGTGCATATATTTGTCCTTCTTTATGGCAGCATAATATTCCACTGTGTATATGTACCACAATTTTTTATCCGGTCCAGCTTCGATGGGCAACATGGTTGGTTCCATGTTTTTGCTATTAAATTCACCTACACATACTCTCTCTGCAACATGAATTTAATAATATCTTTATTGATTTGGGAGACTGTGATATTTAATCAGTCTTCCAAATTGTAATATTTGGACCCTCTGTGTATGCAGTAGAGACCACAATTCCACAATTCCACTAAAAATTCCCACTAAAGCACCTGTCTAAACAAGAAGAAATTAAAAAAAGAGAAAGAAACTATGAACTCACAGCCCCCCACCCCCAGAAAACTACCCCGGTACCCCCTGAGGTAACTGTCTACCTACAGAGCACGCTTTCTAGAAGTAGTAACAGAGAAGGCTGAGGCGCTCGCCCCTCTGGTGGTGTCACATATGCATGCCATCTACAAAGAAAGGCTGCCGTTCACAGAGGAAGGGCTAGCCCATGCCTGCTGCCAGGCCCTACCTACTCCCATGCCATCTCCTCAACACATTCAGAACCTTGACGACTAGTGTATTGTATTTCAACTGTACATACAAGAAAAAAGCATTCCTGCATTGAAACCTCTTGGTCTGAACACAGTGTATGAACCTAGGATTTGCACATACTCTACTAGACCACTGTAGAGAGCTGCTGAGAAGAGAATGGTATCAGACACCACAGAAAACACGGACAGCCAGCTGCAGAACACAAGCAATGAACACTCTCTGCAAAGTTGCGGATGTGATCACTTTATACCATGTCTTTCTACCACTTTTCTTTCCTTACTGTCACCAACCTCTCATAAAAGCTTCTGGAACAATCTACTGTACTCCTTCTTAGGGTATTTAAGAAAAAAATAAGAAACTCCCCCAAACTTCTTGTTCATCCTGTGGCTGTCAATTCTTTTCTAGGTGTTTATACTAATAAGTCAGTTTTAAACAAATGTACCACAAGGAAAGTAAATACCCATGTTCTTTCATGAACTGCCATACCCAACTGCACAGTGATATCATAAACACAGTGCATATGCAAGGGATGTTTATCCAGGGCTTCCTTTCCAGTATTTAACCCCTGATAATCCAAAAAACAAGAACACCTCTTAAGCATCCAAAACAGCCTCGTTCCCAGCCAACGATACACACCTTCAAGAATTTGGTGATGATATCCATGTCTTTATGATCATTGCCTTTCCCCAAGGACTCCCCCAGTGCCTGAAGAAAAGGAAATAATGCTTCTGTTCGTTAGTACAAAGCAAGAGCTGAACATATATATCATTAGCACCAATCTAAATATGGCTCTTCGTCACATATACTGCTCAATTTTATTTAAAATCATGGCAGGGATCAGGCGCAGTGGCTCACGCTGTAATCTCAACACTTTGGAAGACCAAGGTGGGAAGGTCATTTGAGCCCAGGAGATCAAGACCAGCCTGGCAACATCACAAGACCTCATCTACACAAAAATAAAAAAATTAGCCAGGCACGGTGGCACCCACCTGCAGTCCCAGCTACTTTGGAGGCTGAGGCGGAAGGATCACCTGAGCTCAGGAGGTCAAGGCTTTGGTGAGCCATAATCATGCCGTAGTACTCCAGCCTGGGCAACAGAGTGAGATTCTGACTCAAACACAAACAAAAACTGATAGAATTTCTAGGGAGGTCAAAAAAACAAAAACAAAAAACACTGATTTACCACTTAAATTTAGAGAGCATGCTATCTTTGTGAATCAAAAGACCAAGAAGGGGGAAAGGAATGACTGCTAATGGATTTGAGATTTCTTTTGGCAGAAACAAAAACTTCCTAAAATTAGATGATGATGATGGCTGCACCACCTGTGAGTACACTCCCGAGCACCCACAATTTCATTGAGGTACTGCTGGTCAATTTTATCCAAATACCCCAAAATCACTGAGTTGTATGTATTAAATGGGTAGATGGCATGGTATGTAAATAAGTAAAGAAAGCTGTTTTTAAAAACAAAGAAAAAAAATCCCACAACTGGTTCTCCACACCAATCAATTTAGTAAAATGTAGGGACTGTCAGCAGGTGTTAGGGGAGGCAGGAGAATAAAATCCTCCTAACACCCTCCTCAACTCTGACCTCACTCAGACATCTGCATGTGCGACAGCCAGGAGTCAAAGGTAACAAAAGCAAGTCTGTGTTTCTTTGAGCATTAAGAACTCTGAGCCATAGTTTCACATGCTAGATGCTTACAGGATACAATACCGGCTTTTAATTAAGACTCTATAAATCATTCCACACGCGACACTGTGGCAAAAACTAAAAAGCGAGATATTGCCAAGTGTTGGCAGCGATGGAGGGACACAGTCCCTCACACTGCTGGGGTGGGTATACGCTGAGACAGCCATTCCAGAGAGCAACCTGGCAGCACTTAGACAAGTGGGATATTCATACGTAGACCTCACAGTCCCCTCTTCTGGGACATCACGGTTAGGCACGAGTCCATTCATCATAAAACGGCCAGTGGTAAGAGAGAGCTGGGAACACCCAGCTGTCCAGCATTACGCAGCAACAGAAAGTGGAATGCCGCGAACGGCATCATACACAGAATGCTCATAGCAATTAAAAGCCACAAATTACATGCACATATGTGGATCTAAGGGTGGATCTTAAAAACACAGTGCTAAGTGAAAAAAAGAAAGGGACAAAAGGAGAATAAAGAATTTCACAGAACAGTATCATTTAGGTAAATCAAAGGTAAACAACACACAAAACGCTGCAGGTTTCACAAGAACGCCAGCAAATACAAGGAATGGTTACTTTTGAAGGTACAAAGTAGGGGAGTGTGAGTGGAGAATAAGAAAAAGGGGAGTAAACAAATAAAAGCAGGAAACAAAAGAAGGGCCTTTGCACTGACCAAAGACAACAGCGTGCACTGCACTAAACAACCTGCTCAACCATCCCCTCCCAAGGAAAGCACTGGGCTGGTGTAGACATCACCTCTAACTCTTCGATGGTAGTGTTTTCTTCGTGAACCTTCAAGTCATTCTGTGTGTCTTCTTCTCCAGGTTCCTGACCACCCACAATTTCATTGAGGTACTGCTGGTCGATCTTATCCAAAGCGGCCTTGAGATCATTCCTCAACCCCTGAGAAAGGTGACAAAGGAAGCACACCTGTTATGAAATGTCACTGGTAGCTCACCTTGGATTTGTCCTTAAATAAATACAACTCAGTTTTTCTCCACAAAAGTTTAAGAGCTCAGCCGAACTAGGGACTCAAGCAACGTACCAATTCATCATATAACTATCATTACAGTTCGTTTGAAGTTAACTGTTGTGAACATACCTAAAGAATGTATGAACTATGGCCAGTCTGATGGTCAGAAAAAGGAAACAGAATGAGTGACAAATCCAAGCAAGATCTCCATAAATGCTCTCATTTTCTAATGAGGCTTTGTGAAGTCATCAGGTGTCCGTAGAGTCCTGTTTTCCCAGTTCTTTTATAACGTTTAGACTCATTTCAACTACTTTAAACTCCCAAAACATTCAGAAATGTCAATGAAATAAAACTGGGTCTCATCTATATCCCAGGCCTCAACTATGTTTCTAGCAAGCCAACAAACTCCACATTTCACACATATCCAGTTCATTATCTTTTAATTAAAAACGGAAGTCTCAGTTTCCTAAACATGAATGAGAAGCAGCTTAGAGGTGTAAGCGCCAGTGAGATGTCTGTAGGGTAGTGGCAGAGAGGGAAGACTACCTGGGTTCAAAACCTTGCCACTGACTAAGCTTTTGGACAACTTATTTAACCCCTGTATGCCTCAGTTGCTTCACCCGTAAAATGGGAATAATATTACCATCGACTATGTGATGACTATGTAATGACTACATGTCAAATTATATATTTTTATTTTATTTAACACTTACTACGTGCTAGGACATTCCAGAGCCTTATAAGCATAAGTTAATAACTGTATAGTGTGCTTTGAGCAGTTGCTGGAGCACAGGAACCACTCAACAAATGTTAACTCCTAATGTTATTCTATTAGAAGCACTGTCCTTTCATAAGCATGGATGAGAAACATTCAACTCAAAACACTCTTATTTACCAAATGCTCAGAACCTGCTATGTACAAAGCACAATGCCAGAGACTCCCAGTCATCTCATTTGATTCTCACAACCAGATAGCACTACCTCTATTCTACAAATGAGGATCCTCAGGTTCTTGCCAACGGTTGCATAATTCACATTATAATTCAGGAAGGGAATCCAGACCTTATGCTCCTGTGCCCTTTCCTCAAAACCTCTCTGTGCAAGGCACTAGACTTGGCATACAAAAATAAAACAGCCCGTGCCCACCAGGAAGAGATAAATATGCACATAACTAATATGAGTGAATTATAGTAAGTGCACTAACAAGTTTAATTATGGAAACACAGAGAAGGAAGCAATTAATTCTGATCGGGATCAAGGTTCAGAGAAAAGATGGAATCTGAATTGTTGGAAAGTATGAGGGCAAGATCTCAACCGAGGCATAGGAGAGAGAAACACAGCAGGCATAGGAAAAGTGGTCCTCACAGACCGTGGGGACCGAAAGGCAACTGTCAGCGTTGTGAGGCTGGAACAGCAAAGTTGAGAAGTGAAGCAGAAAAGCAGTTTGCAACAAATAAGGAAAGCAGTGAGAAAGCCGAAGCGAGCTGGCAGAGAGCACGTGGCAGGAGGGGCCAGGCCAGCTCCGGTGGATCCTGCCATTCCGAGACCAGCGCCAGGCATACGGGGAGACACCAACCAGTACAGAGGACAGCCCAGGGGAGGCCTCAGTTGGCTTCAGTCACAGCCTTCCTCTGACTGCCATCACATGAAAGACTGCCCAGTCCAGCCCAATCAAACCTCAAAACTGTGAGACACAATAATTATCTTAAGCTACCAGGTTTCAGAGTGGTTTGTTACAATCACAGATGACTAAAAAAGATTATATAATAACAAATCCTTTTACACGACTAAGTTTTGGGGTGGTCTGTACATGGTCGCCTGTCTCCCAATAACTGACAGAGGAAGAAGATAAGAAGTTAATAAAAGTCACAGAAGATCTGAACAACACTACTGTAATTGACATTTGTAGAACTGAATAATCAAAGTCAAAACACTCTTTTCAACAGCCCATAGAAAAGACCACATGCTGAGCTATGAGACACGATCAGAGATGTAAAAGCAAAACTATTATGCTTCTAAAAGAAAATACAGAATATATCTTTGAAAGCCTGGAATAGGCAAAGATTTTTTTAAGCAGCACACAAAAAGCAATAACTATAAAAGGAAAAACTGATTAAAAGGATCTCCATCAAAAGCTAAAACTTCTACCGGCAAAATACTCCATTAAGGGAGTAGGAAAGCCACAGACCAGGAGAAAATAGTCTCAAACATATCTGTGATTCTGACAAAGGACTTATATCCAGAATATGAAAAGAATTCCTATAATTCTTTTTTAAAAAATTTACCCAATTAAAAAATGAAGAAAAGACCTTAATAAATACTGCACAAAAGAAGATACATCTATGAAAAGATGCTCTTCTTGTGTAGTCACCAGAGAGTTGAACAGAGCCACAATGAGATACTGCTACATCAAAGAAGATGGCTAAAATCACAAAGACTAACAATACCAAATGCTGGTGTTTGGAAGTTAAGCACATCTACTGTTATCATTCAGTAATTCCATTTCTAGGTATTTTCCCAAGATATGTGACATATTTACCTAAGAGAAATAACACGGTTCCAAAGAAGATTTGTATAAGAATGTTCACAGCAGTTTAATCCTGAGAGCCCAAAACTGGAAACAAATAGTGGTATATTGATACAACTGAATACCACTGACACAAAAAGGAAACTACCAGTATCTGCAATAACATGGAAGAATCTAAAAACTGCAATGCTGAGCAAAAGAAGCCAGACGCGCACTCTGAGTCTATTCATTCGACATACTGAACAAGTAAAATTAATATATGGTGAAAGAATTCAAGAGGTGGTTCCCCAGGAGTGAAGGAAAGGTATGAGGATTGGCTAAGGCCACTGGGGAACTTCCTGGGGGGTGAAAATGTACTATATCTTTATAAGGGTAGTGGTTACATGGCTGTATGCATTTATCAAAATGCATTAAACTGTATGCTTGATACGTGCTTTTCAAAAAATTAACAAAAGGCCGGGCTCGGTGGCTCAGCCTGTAATCCCATACTTTGGGAGGCTGAGGTGAGTGGATTGCCTGAGCCCGCGGGTTTGAGACCTGCCTGGGCAACTTGGCAAGACCTCATCTCTACAATAAATCAAAAAATTAGATGGGTGTGGTAGTGCACGCCTGTAGTTCCAGCTAGTTGGAAGGCTGAGGCGGAAGGATCGTTGGAGCCTAGCAGGTCGAGGCTGCAGTGGCCAGGAGCGGCCACTGCACTCCAGTCTGGGTGACAGAGTGAGACTCCAACTCAAAAAAAATAAAATTAAATTAACAAAAACTTACTTTCAGCCACAGTAATCTGCCAACTTCATTTTTCCATTTTTGCCTGTAATAAGGCAATTAGTCACACTCTATTCTAGTTGATGTGGCACAGCGGTGTTTTTTCAGTTCTGTTCCGCCTCTTACCTTGTTAACTTCTGGTGTGAGGATCTCTATTTTCCTTAAACGCTGAAAAGCATCATAGTCAGTTTCTCCAAACAGTCTGATTGGCTCTCCTCTTTCTCTTAATCTTCTGATGACCTATAAAGTGAAGCAAATGCACAATAAATTAGCTAACTTTTGAGAGAGGAAAAAGCTATAAACACCTCAAAACAATTTGTATATTTTACCTTAAAACTGAAATCTGGATTTAATAAAACTAATTTAATTATCCAAGCACATGTTTCTGAGTGAAATATAAAATCCCTCAAATGTTTTAATCATTTCAATTATGCAAAAAAAGATGACTGCGAATGAAAGAGAAAATCAAGTGCTTTAAAAATCTAATTTGATTCAAATGTCACTACTATTAATTTTTTTACCAAATGACTCCTAGAAAGTGATCTGACTGATGGGCTCGGTGGCTCAGCCTATAATCCCGCGCCTTTGGGAGGCTGAGGTAAGTGGAGTGCCTGAGCCCGTGGGTTCGAGACCTGCCTGGGCAGCAAGACCTCATCACTACAATAAATCAAAAAATCAGCCGGGCGTGGTCATGCCTGTAATTCTGGCTACTCGGAAGGCTGAGGCAGAAGGATCACCGGAGCCCAGCAGGTTGAGGCTGCGGTGGCCAGGAGCGGCCACTGCACTCCAGTCTGGGCGACAGAGTGAGACTCCAACTCAAAAAAAAAAAAAAAAAGAAAGTGGTCTGACCTATAAAGCTACAATTCAAAACTAAAGCAAGCTCCTAATACAAACCATTCCTTTCTTGTAAGACAAAAAAAAATCTTCTTTTTAAAAAACGGGATAGGCTTTTGGTCCTCATTAATTAACTATAACTGCTCTTAATCATCTTAAAATAAAAATCAAGACAATAGAAATTCCTTATGTTAAAATTTTAGGTGACCGTCTGTTTTGAAATGTAGACGTAAAAAGTTAAGTTGCATTTTCTTATTCTTGAACTTTCCATGAACAGATACATCATATTATCATCACACCTTATATAACCGTAACAGTAGAGGTCCTTGGACTGGCTGCTTCAGGTAGGACCAATCTGTGCAGCAGAATACACAAGAAAAACACTAAGATGGGAGAGAATGGCCGCACTTACAGAGAAAGAAAATAACATCTGCAGTCAGCCGGTAACTCAGTGACCATAATAAACAGAATTGTAATACCACTGAAAGCCACAAATTTTCCCTCAGAGGAGAAAGAGAATTATGATCAGAGCGAGGCAAATACTGAGCTTTTTAGTTGCTGATATCCTATTTCCTAACTCGGGTGATGGCTGTATGGGTACTTGTTTTGTAATTATCCATTAAATTGCACAAACATATTTTATATACTCTTTGTATATATGTTCTATATAATTAACAAAAAGGAGAAAGAAACAAAGTGCAATTAAGAAAATAAAGGTTGGCCGGGCTCAGTGGCTCAGCCTGTAATCCCGCGCCTTTGGGAGGCTGAGGTGAGTGGATAGCCTGAGCCCACAGGTTCGAGACCCGCCTGGGCAACTTGACAAGACCTCATCTCTACAATAAATCAAAAATCAGCCAAGCGTGGTAGCGCACGCCTATAGTTCCAGCTACTTGAAAGGCTGAGGCAGAAGGCTCACCGGAGCCCAAAAGGTCGAGGCTGCAGTGGCCGGAAGCGGCCACTGCACTCCAGTCTGGGCCACAGAGTGAGACTCCAACTCCAAAAAAAAAAGAAAAGAAAAGAGTCTGATCCAAACTTAAAAAAAGAAGCACTGGCTAGGCTCATGCTTATAACCCTGGCACTGAAGAAGGCCAAGGTGAGAGGATTGCTTGAGCCCAGGAGGTCAATGTAGTGAAACCTTGTGTATGGAAAAAGTAAAAAAATTAGCCAGGCGTGGTGCCATGTGACTGCAGTCCTAGCTACTTAGGAGGCTGAGGCAGAAGGATCACCTGATCCCAGGAGGTAGAGGCCACGGTGAGCTGTGATCATGCCACTGCATTCCAGCCTAGGCAATAGAGACCCCAACTAAAAAATAAATAAATAAATGAAAATGACAAGCACCAAGAAATGTATCTGGGAGCATAAATGGTATCACACCTTGGTAGGGCTCTCACTGGATTAAAATACAAATTTAAGAGGTCATCTAGTGCTATCTCCAATCAACGCAAAAATGATCTCACAAGTGCCCTGCCCATATCCCTGTCTGACAAGTAACAGGAATCACATCTCTTCATGAAACACCCACCCCATTTTTTGAACAGACAAGTTTTTCCTCTCAAAACTGAAGTCTACTTCCCTCAAACACCCACCCACTTATCCTACCTCCGCTCTATAAAACCAGAGAATATTCAACCCTTTTCCCAAATTAGAACTGTTTTCAATGGATTTTTTAGAAATATCTCTGATAACTTTTCTCTTCAGGCTAAGTATGTATTCCAAATTGCTTCATTTAATTTTCATATGATGGTTTCTAGAGTCAGTCATCAAACCTCTGAATGTTTCTTTTTGTATAACATCCATCCAAAAAACGTGGTATTTATAAAGAAAAAATAATTCTGCAAACATGTTAGACTGTGAGAAGTACACAATGTATGGGGGGGCAAAAAAACCCAGAATTTGTAAAAAAGTGTATATTTATTCTTCCATGTTTAAACTTCAGTCACCTTCAAAGTACTCTCCGTTTGATGCAATACAACTATCGAGATGCTTTTTCCACTGCTCACAAGAGTTTTTGAACTCATCAATTTTGATGCCTATAAGTGCTTCTAATGTTTTTTGTTTCACCTCTTCCACATTGGCAAAACATTTCCCTTTGAGGACTTTTTCATGGGGGTGGGGGGCAAAACAAAGTCCCTCGGAACAAGATTGGGTGAAAAAGGAGGGCAGGGCACAGGGGCCATAGTGTTTTTGGTCAAAAGCTATTGAACACTCAGCACAGTGTGGGCAGGTGTGTTGTCATGGCAGAAGAACCAGTCACCTGTTTGCCATAATTCAAGATGTTTCTTCTGCAAATCGTAATGCAACCTTCTCAAAACTTCCAGATAAAAAGTGATGAGTTCCTAGAACACTTACCTAACGGGGGAAGCCTGTACTACAAAGGGCCTGCCCTACAAAAAATAATTCTGGGTTTTTTGGGAGTCCCCTCTCGTACAATCTTTTGATTCAGATGCCGTATTTCTCACTTACATTCAGCTTTACCCACAACTAGAGAGGTACAAAACAGGGATAGACAGTCAAGGGCTCACAAAGATTAAAGGTGATTGACTAAGTTAGGGTCAAAGATTAAAAGATTCTAAACCAAAAAAGAAAACTTGAGCTAGTTATCACTTTAAAACATTGCTTAAACTTAGGGGTTATAATAACTGAGACCAACTATGAGGATTATGTAATATTTTTCTGGGTAACAGTATAAACAGCTAATTCTCATCTCTCTGGAATTATGCCACAGTGGATCTTGCTAAATGCAAGGTAATAAACTATTTGACCTCATAATTCCTTTTAGGGTAAAAATTCTATTAATCCTAATTTTTTAAATAAAGCAACTGAGATACTTAAAAAAAAGAAAAGAAAGTAACACAGAGACCAAAAGGGCTATCAGTGGAAGAACTTAAGCCTCTGAGACCTCTTGTACTATTTCAATAGCTCCCAGATGAAGGTAGGCACCATGTCTCCCCCATATTATGCTTAGCGTTTAACTGACAGACAACTATTAATTTGTAGCAATGATTTAACAGTATTGGATCTCACAAAAAGACCAGCTTCTTAAAACTTTGCCTTTTAATCCAAACTTTCCAACTTTCAAGGACAGATATAAAGCAAATCTCAATATATAAAACTTTTTTCTAAATCAAAAAGTAACAGAATTCTAAAAAATGTGAAGGGCTTGAGATTTTAAATATCTTTTGCAATTATGAAATTAAAATTTTAGTTCAGTTTAGATATAAAGTTAATTAAAATATACAGAAAATTGTATTTTCTATATGTAAAGAGTACCCTCGTAAAGGTAGTGGAAAAAACATTAAGACCTCATTTTCCAACTCTTGGAGATGATGGAAACCTTTCTAAGCATGACACTCAAGGCAAGAAACATAATGAAAAAGACTATAATGTGACCACATAACAATTTAAAATTTCTACACGGCAAAAACTATTTTTTACTGGGAGGGTATGGAAGACAGAAGACAGAGAACAGAAGACATTTTTGTTTTACACCCTTCTGTATATATTTTAATTATCTATATCATATAAATATCCTAAAATCGCAGAAGTTTTTTAAAGTAAAATATTTGATATTGACCAGGGTATGGATAAACACAACAGGTGGGAGTATACACTGGCATAATGTATCTAATACCTACAGAGTTATTTGGTAATATCAAAGTGTTAAAAATATATAGTCTTTGCCCTAAAAATAATGCTGCTAGACATTTTCCCAAAGTAAATAATAGCATGTCATTATGTATGCAATGATGTCTGGACAGGGCTGTTAATCTCAGTAGCATTTGCAACAATGGTATGTTGAAGTACATCCCAAGTAGAAGGCACACACAGGGGAAACAGCATTCTTCCTTTACCAGAGTGGCATGACTATCATGTTCCCAAAAACAGTGAGATCTGTATCGATATATGGCCATTAATAAAGAAATGACTTTTAAAATATTCTGGTGCAAGTAAACAACAGGAAATTATACAGTGATTAAAAATTTTGTAAGTTTCTATTTTTTTTTTTTTTTTGAGTTGGAGTCTCACT